TTTCCAAATGAACTATTTCACCACCAGAATATGACCCAAAGACGTCTTATAATTGATTAATTGTTGTTTATTTTACTCCCAGTGGACGTCATGTGAACAGTCACGTTCGATATAAGTATTCTGTCCTGTGAAACAACACTGCTTTTGTAATGAAAAAGATGGGGTTTTAGATTACGTCATATGAATAGTCATTTTTGATATGCGTATCTGTCCTGTGAAATAACTCTGCTTTTGAAACGAGAAAAAAAAAAAAAAAAAAAAATTGGGTTCCCTTTTTCTCCTGTACAGTGTAAAAACAACAATTAAAGGAAATCCACGTGTTCTCATTTTCTTACCAAGGAACGAAATGTAATCAATTAATTAATAGTTTATTTTTTAAAATTTTATCTACTTTAGGCCATATTAGTGTCACTGCTGCATATCTTTATTAGGATTGTTTGAAAGATGTATATAGTTGCACCTTCTTAATTGATTTTAAATCGAAAGCCAGCGTCCGTCGTTTGTAATACACATACAGTTCCTACCACCTGGTACTTCACAAGTATTATTTAAACATCTGAGAATAAATATATACTTCAAACATTGACATAGGCAAACTTAAGAATTAAGATCAATTATTTCAAAGCTTATGACATAAGTGGTCTTTTTATGCCGCTAAGAGAATATGAGGCTATTGGTAGTGTTTCTCCTGGGTAAGTTCGCAATGGTTATATATGAAATGTATGCACTGCTACGAATTATAAAAACAAATAAATCATTTATTTTTCACTCTTATAGTTATTTTAGTGAAATTTTTGCAATAACAGTATCTGCTTCGTGATTTTGTTTTGTTCGGCTACAAGTACAAGTCTTTTTTTTCGCTTACTCCCGGTATATAGCGTGATGAAACTAACTTTTATAACATGAATTTTCAACTCTCTTGTCCAGTAAAATATGTACAATTAAATAATATATGTATGGATTCAATAACCCAGCTGTCTAGCGGTTTCGAATTCAAAAGGTGATGTTTTAAAACAAATTGGAGTAAAATGCTTAAATCCCCTCTAGCAGTATGGGGTTCTTCATAGGTGCCAATCTTAGGCATTAGCTGACTTTTATCAAATCACCATTTTTAATTCACTGGAAAACGAAGGTACATTTTCCTAATCAGTCCAATCTTTACATATACATCTCATATTATAACCATGTTTTTGCAAAGATTGTCTACAGTAGTGGACAGAGTAGCAAGATAATTTAGTTGTTTTTTTTTATAAAATGACTCTATTTTCGTATTGTCCAAAATTAAACTTGTTATTTTATCTTACAAATGTTGCACTGGTTGGGTCAAACAAAAGACTTGAGAATTGGTATTAATTTGCTGATCCCGCTTAAGCACTTACCATTTAAGAGTAAGAGAAAATACTCACGTCTGATTGACTCGTAGTCATTATAATGTGTCTGTGTATGGTGAAATGGCTTTCTGTGGACTGTCACTTTGTGAACTAGCATGTTAAAAATTCGACCAAGCGGTCTAGAACACACACGTATCCACATCAACACGTTCTTGTCCTGATATCTATGTCATATTTACCACCAAGTAGACATAAAACACCTTCAATCTTCCTACTTTTTCTGTTACATCATCCTTTTTTACCGTTCAAATTTTATGGTTATATTTTCCTAATTTTCAGCCTTAACAGGTTTGTTTTAATCAAGAAACAATATCATACTATAAATACGAATTATGATTAAATAGTTTAAAAAATACTGACAGCGTCATAAATTCCAGGGGCTTAGGAGCCGAGGAAAAGAGAAGCCGGGGGTCAAGGAATTTTTTTTAATGAAAATAGAATTTAAAAACATTGAAGAGGACACTGAATAGCTTTTAGAATATAAGACTATAAGTTTTTTTCTTTTGCTTTTCACATTCAGAAAATTTCCCCCTACTTTTCAACTCCTACGCCACTGAACACGGCAAATTATACACATTGAATCAAAGGAACTTGCCCGGCATTCGCTGTCAAATGACGGTAGAGTATTTAGTATAGACTGTTCAACATCAAGGGTTGGGAATTCAAATCCTGGACTTCTTCCCTTCGACTGTAAAACAATTGCTACAGAGGAGCGTCCATTTTGGTCATGTGGGATGTATGAATACGCAGCCACGTTCGACCGGAATGTGGACGTCAATTTAGATCCCTCGTGTAGGGAGAGTGTCCTACCCCTGCACGTAAAAGAATCATTGCAACAACTCTCCGAGTGGTCTATAGGTGGCCAGTTGCAGACAAAATTTTGCCCCTATTAAACATACCCCAATTGTTCAGTAACAGTAGAAATTCACGCCCTTCTTTCCGGTTTACCTACTATCTTTTTATTGTTAAGTTGATTTAGATTGTTGTTTGCTTAACATCCATTCTCAAAGTTTTAATGCATGTTTAAAACAAGAGCAAGTAAACAATAAATACAAGGGTCGGCCCTGCAAGGTAGGGTCTATCGGGATGGGCTGAAAATGTGAGGTACCACTGGAAAATGATTGGATAAGGACAGACTGTTTTGCCTTGCAACAGGCCATCCACAGATCCCTCAGAGTTGTTTCAAGGATTCTGTAACGTGCAGAATGCGTGGTACGATCTATACACGGGGCATCTGATTTAACCTTCCACATTCCGACGGGACATGGCATGTGTATTTATACATCCAACACATCCAAACGGACGCCCCACTTTAGCAAGGGTTTTACTGGGAGAAGTCCAAAAAAATAGCCATAAATTTAAATTTAGTCGACCTTTTGGGTTTCGTAAATTTGATATTTGGCACATTTATACTAAATGCATCGAGTTTGAAAGAATTAATTCAGTAATATTTCAGAAAATAAAAGAGAAAAATGCATTAATTTTTCCATTTTCATTCAACGAGCGAAATGTAAAATTTTACTAAAATCTGTTACATGTACCTTGGCCTTAAGCAAACTTTGGAGCCAAGTCATGTAAAATAAGCCTTTTTGCTGGAAATGCACCGGAATTTTTAGAGTTTGATATAGTATATAAATTAAAAACATTTTACATGAAGCGCTCAACTTTTAATGCACGTTTCTTGTTCTTTTATTCTCTATATATGCGTTAGATATCATCAGTTTTCTGTGTAGTATATACTTCTGGACAATATGTCAGACTCACTGCGTTTTTTCCTTTTAGATAATGGTGCTTTGTATTTGAGATGTAATTACTAGATTTAGATATCTCTTACTTTTAAAAAGAGTAACCAGAAAGGGGGTGATATGATATCATTGCATCATTTGCAATTGACTTAAAAAAAAATTACAATCGCAACCCCTCATGCACATAAGTATTCCTCATTCCTACCTTAATTAAAGAAAGACCAATAGAATTTGTCGGACTTTGTTTTATAAAAAATGGTCCTGGAACAAAGAGTTAGTTTTAAGAAGTAAAAAAAACAACTACTCTAATTCTAACAAAAGTTACTGATAACATTATCAAGAAGATTGATAAATTTTTTGTTCTGGACGTGTTTTCAACAGACATTCCAATCGGAACCACCTCTATTCATCTCTTCGCATTCATATGAAACATACATAAGGGGCATCTCAAGAAGAACAAAACACGCTAGCATCTATATAGATACTGTTCTCTCACTGAATGATTCAGTTAGGTTACTATGTTTACCGAATCTATTTCATCTGGGAACCGACATTGAGGGTCAGCTGAGAACTAATATTTAAAAAAACATATTTGACTTTAATTTTTCCATTTTGCACTTTCAATTTTTTTATATAGCAAAGAGGTAGTTCTAATTTCACCTGAATTTATTTCATGCCAAGGTCATTTTCGAAACCTCCTCCAATCTTTTCTCAAATTCACAGTATGAAAGCTTGATGTGTGTATTTTAAGGTTCTAACAACAGTTTTACCTCTTTTCTCCTGTACCTTGACATTTCAGTCAATGCGATATTTCAAAGCTTTCATTCTGCATCAGAATATTGATATTACAACATGTGTAGACTGGGGAGAGAGTAATGTTTGACATATTGTTTAAGGCTTGTCTATGGTTGTTTACATGTTTAATTTGGAAGTTATATAAGTTTTTGTGTCGTTTGGTTGCTGTCTTATTGACTTTAAACCTACATCTCTCTTAATTCAGCTTCGAAAGCCATCATAACATTTACGGAATCTTTATGATACAGATGACTTAGTATACCATTCCATCTGTCGTAGCCGCAATTCTGATGTTTTTTTTCCCTTATTTATGACTGAATTCATAAGTTATTTTTAGAAGTCAAAATCAACACTACGGAGTAGAACGGGAACTGTATATTCTTTCGGAACGATTGAGTTTTCCTAGCGGGTTTTTGTTTTCTGTGGGAAACTCGTTCTAACAGTTAAATATCAAAAGCAAGATCACCAATTGAAGATTGCTGCTTTCAAGAAATCTATTGAGAACATTATATAAAATAATTACTGACCATACCGGAGCACCTTATTCACCTCGGTTTTTTAGTAGGGTTCGTGTTGCTCAATGTTTACTGACCATACCGGACCACCTTATTTACCTCGGTTTTTAGTAGGGTTCGTGTTGCTCAATGTTTTTTTTGTGTGTAGTATTTTGTGGACTATTGTTTATTTTTCTTTGATTTGTTTTTCTTTTGACATATTGTTTTTCTTCGACCTATGATTTTTAATTGTCATAAGAACAATACTGGTGCCAAAAGTGGAACAGCCACTACGTTATCATTACCCTTTAGTGGGGTTCGCGTTGCTCCATCTTTGGTTTTTTATGTAGTGTTCCCTGAACTATTAATGATCTCTTTCTTTTTCCTTTTGGCCGTGGTATTGTCTGTCGTTTTTTGACACCTGATTAACGAACACCAGTTTATCTCCAGTTGTTCTTGTATTCTCTGTCATTGAATTTCCCAGTTTAATTGTCAAATTGGACTATAGAAGTACATTAGAAGGTAGTAAATTATTCAGAAATAGAAAAAAAAACAAAAACTAGACAAGCGTTTGACTTAGCCAAGGAGATATATTTCATACATAGATATGGTATGAGGATATATAATGAAAAAAATATATAAATACTTGTTCAGACGTCTTGAACTAACATACACTTAATAATACACATTGATTTTCCTTTAGGTGGACAACAGTCACAGGACGATGTTTGTAAATGTTTATATATAATTTTGTATATCTATACATCTTATCGGTCTGGTTTTTAGACTGATCCTGACAGTCACGTGCTTCTATCTTCGTAGTGTACTTGTTATACTTAAAGGCTGTACTATTTGTCTAAAAATAAAAGAAACAGAATATACTGCAAGTTACTTACCAGTTACTTATAGAAAATAACAATAAAAGAAACAGAATATACTGCAAGTTACTTACCAGTTACTTATGGAACATAACAATACAACTGATATATGCTGTCTGAAATCAAAATGTCTCCTAAGGTATATACAAAATATTCTACATATATATAAATACTCGGAGCGATTAATAGCTTGACCTTATGTAAACGTATGTTTCTATTATGACAGACTGGATATATGTTGACCAATATTTCTTTTAATTCGATCCTTTATTTAAATGTCTCATTAATGTATACCCCACATTTCCTTGTTAATGACTTCAAAGCTAGAGTTCGAACCACACTAAGGAAATGATATAAACTTGCAAGTGACACAAATTTTTAATTTTTTCACCAATCTAGTTCTGTTTAAAGTTTTGTTTTTAATGTTGCGTTCACACAGTGTCGATTATGGCTCCCGTTTGAGATAAGATAGCGCTAAGACACGAAATATGAAAAAGTCGGATTACTATCCCCAATGATCTGGAATGTCCTATCATTGTCTTAACGCAGTTGTATACGTTCGTAACAGATTCCTACGGATCGGGAATGGTTCGGAGAGGTCGGCAAAGCACCCCCGACAATAAGGTGCGTCCCGTAACATTCGGGGAAACTCAGCCGTGTTTGTCTAGTCGGATTACAATCGTGACAGATTCTGCTGTATCGGATCAAAATCGTAACAATGTTCTGTGTTTTCCTGACGGTGCCTTGTGGAACGGGCATGACCTGGAGAAATTTGTCTTTGCTGGTTTTTTGTCGATTGAGTCCAGATTGCATCCAGATCTTGCCGAATGCGAACCGTCTTTGTTCCGGAACAGTCCCGTTATTAACACGAAATTCGGCAATAATACCCACGTCAGAGTCCCGACAATTACAGAACACGATACGACTGAGTCTAGACAATGCCGTTTGCAATGCGGTACAGCAGACTGTGATAGCATTGCGTTCCGACAGTACCTGATCATCCCGAATATGGCGATTTTTTAGGACGGGACTATCACGTTTTCTAACGGATATCTTCCGTCAGCGTCGGTTCACTGTCTGGTCAGTGTCGGATCCCTCTCGGATCGCATTCGACAGAATCGGGATGCTGTCGGGACAGATTCGGTCGTTTTTTGCCATTCAAAAGATACTAATCGGATTAGAATCGGATTGAGAACGTGATAATCGGGACAAATTCGGCTGGAAACGGCTGAATTTGGACGCTTCCTGAACGATATCTTATTGGTGTCGTGAACAAATAAATGTTGATCCCGGCTTTATAATACATATTTATCAGTACAAAAAAGCAGTTTGAATACACTAAAACTATTTGCACGTTTAAGTATTCTACGGTGTAATGTCTCTTAAACATGATTAAATATATACGACTGCCATTGTTGGTGATTTACCGTGAGTATAAATTGCATGCCATATTTGCTGTTGATATTTTTGTAATACAACATTTTTGGAGACTGATATTTTTCTAAGTTGACGTATATGCTAAAAAGATCATATATATATATATATATTTCTCTAATTCTTCGTCAATTTATCCCTTTCTGCACCAATTGTATAAAAAAAATTTAATCAACGTGTGGTTCGTTTGATCTCAGTTCTTCATTGGTTAAAATCCGATTATGACGTCGAATTTTCTTGCTTTCCTCTGAATTTCCTATTGTGACGGCATGAAAAAAGGCGACCATGCCTGATGACGTCACATAGAAAGAACACATCTTTTTGCAGATCATTCGAAAAGAAAGAATAAATTTGCCTGCGTATTGTTTGAAAATCATTAGAGAAACAGATTCCACCACCAAATCTCGTGTAATACGATATTTATCCACTCTCGGCAGTTAAATTTTAAATATTTAAAACGCTCGGCGAGCCTCGCCTTTTAAAATTTGAAAATTTAACTGTCTCGAGTGCATAAATATCGTATCACACTCGATGCAGTGGTAGAATCTATATATATATATATATATATATATATATATATATATATATATATATATATATATATATATTATGTAATTTGATTTAAATATTTTATCGGTGTATAGTTTTTTTCAACTATGTTTTAGCATTTGGTTCCATAATTGCGTTTTATCTATAAAAAAGTGATATCTGATGTGTGCCTTTGTCTGATTATAAAAACTTAATTAGTTTTTTTAACTATTACTAACGGACTCTCGTCGCGATATACTAATAGTTATTTTGCGCCGACTCGAAGTTAATCAAGAAGCAATATAACAATCAATCATAACATGACAGTTTTTACATCGGATGTGACCTTGAGAGGTCATATCGGTGTTATGTTGCCGCAGAAATGTCCTTGCCGTTTGACTGATAACCGAACGTATTTCGTATAATTACGCGGATATTATCGAGTGAAATTAACATTCCTTATCGCTTGTTATATATTAATTTCATCAATAAATATTCATGAAAATAATTTTTAAGAACATGGATAAATGTATGAAAATATTTTGTCGTGAGAAATATATATATCAATAACAAATCATGGATACCGAAAATTTGTGTTAACGCATGCGGAAGAATATCTCGAGAACGTTTTGCAACAAAAGCGGGAAAATATGAATGCCTACTCAAATCCAATCTATTAGAAAAACGAATTATTACAGAAGAGTGTCCACCATGCACTTGCACTGCACTATCATTAGAATAGTAGAATAGAATGATATATAAATGGATGAAAATTTGCCTGTAGAGTTATTAAGACGATCTGCTATATATATAACTGGTATACACATATTAATAAAATGTATAACAACAAACCAGAGTATACTGATAACAAATGATTATATCACTACAATATAATAATTATATCGGTGAGGTTGAATTCCCTGTCATTTATTCATCATCCACACAGGAACTTGTCTCAGAAAAAAATATATCTATGTACCTTAACCTACCTTCAGGTATAGAGATGTGATTTTTTTTCTGAGACAAGTGCTTGTGACCATCCACCAGAACTTGCGGTCATCCGATGTTCAGTACTCAGTACTTTGATTATACTAGCTGTATAATCAACTGTCGGTCGATATCGGCTCGAGGGATGATATCATGACCTAAGGCTGACCAAGGAGATTATAAAACCTCCTTGGGCTGACAATTCAACAGATATGAAAATGTTATGCAACTATATGATCTGAAAATATTGAATGTCTCGTATAGCCGTTGCCTCAACTGTTGAATGAAGAAATGTTTTGTAGAGTTGTCGTAAGTAAATAGGTATTTATATAACATTTGATAATACCTGTGAGCTAAGAAATCTCGATGTAAAGCCTTCGGTCTTGAAAGTTCTTGCATTCTGATGGAAGCCTTCTTGATCTTCACAGCTCTCAAATCTGGGGATATCGCTGATGGGCGACCACAGCTGTATTTAAACAAAGGACTGAAAAAATCAAAACAAAAGAATCCCAGTATGAATCCAATAAGATGTGGTGTAAACGTTTAGGTGATAGAACCATCACAACATAACAAGATAACTTGCGGTCACTATACGGTCTTCTATGATAGACAAATGTCCATATCATTTGACATGATTTTACTAAAATATGAATAAATTCAAAACATTTCCTAAGACCTGTTATCCACATCCAATTTCTTCATAGAAGAGAGAGATAACCTGAAGACCTGTGACCATAATTAACAAAATGCTAAATGGACAGACACACTATAATAAAAATACAATCACACACACTAACATTTATTTATGGCGTGATCATAGAACACCATTTATACTTGTATTTGTACTGTATGACCTTTACGTACCGTTTGCTACAATTAACCCCGCCACAAGTTCATGCTCCTGTTCTATATCTGCAGACTCGTAAGTGAAAAATGGTAGTTTATGTTGTTTCCGTGTTACATATTACTTTTGAACTATGAACCATTCAACCAATGGTTTTCACATTTTAATATGTTGTAACTGATGACAAATGTAGGTCAAGTCTTTTATTGCCTATCTCACTTTGACCGTCCATGACATTCTATTATCCTTGATAGATTGCAATTTGAAAATATATAGGCACAGAAAGTTGCAGGTCAAACAAGCCTGAAAGCGCCATGCATTAGAAAACATAAATTTCATTCGTACTACACAGGCAAATTTTGCTCACATGAAATTCACGTCAAAACTTTCACGTGAGATTCACCTCAAACGAGCTTATACATGAAACTTACGTGAAAATTTTCATGTGAATTTTACGTGAATTTCACGTGAACTTTACCCCAAAAAAATGGTACTTTTAATGATTTTAATTAGATTTGAAAATTTAGATGTTATTTGAATACCTTTATTTCAAATTTCACGTAAATTTCACGTGAAAAAAAAATCATGTTATTTTCATGTGAAATTCACGTGAGTTTCACTTGAGATTCACGTGAAACTCACATGAACTGATTTCATGTGAGTTTCATGTATATGCTCGTTTGAGGTGAAATTAACGTGAGATTCACATGCATTTAAATTCACGTGAAATTCATGCGAGTGAAATTTCCCTGTGTAGTTACCCTCTTAAGTTCAACAATGGTTATCTTCAAGATACAGAAAATCCAGTTAGATGTCAATTTTGACAGCTCAATTCTTGTTTTAAAGTTATTTGGAGAATTTGGTGTTGATGAAAGGGATTTGATAATGAACGTATCTGTTTTATTCTTTTCACATTTCTTTTTTTTAACCTTAGGACGGTATAGTGCATGGTATATTGTATAAAAACCTGTCTATTGTCGAAGACTGTGTTAAATTGACCTCTAGATGTTTTTTGGTTATTTGTGTCGTTTAGATGTTGTTTCATTGAAGTATACACCTCAACCCTTTTCATTCGTGATGAATTTGTATAAATTTAATTGTAGTGAAAAAGATTTAGAAATGAAGCAAATGTTCTTATCGCTGTAAAATTCCCACTTCTAGTAAGTCTATGTTTTGTGTCAGCCGTTGATAGCATTGTGGTACAATATTTGTTACTAAAAGGTCATTTGAGATGTAAATGACATATAACTCGACAAGACTTGAGCAGTATGAAATTAAGTATGACTTACAGACACTTTTAAAGTAAAATTCAAACTTATATTAGATATGATGATTATACCTATACATATTACCACGGTCGTGTGTAGGTTTTGGACTGGCCAGTTCTTTGACTCTCTCGTTAGCTTCCTTAACTTTAGGTTTGGCTTCAGTAATAAAGGATGCGCGTCCAATACTGTAGTAAAACAGAGGTCTGTGAAAAGGGAAAAATTGATAAATATATATACTTTCTGTAAGAATGTTCTTTGATGATTAATCTTTTTATAATATGCCATAAAGTTTCAATAATTCAGGAAAAGCGTTACATTGTCCGATAGTAAATAGTTTGCGTTCACCCGGTCAATCAATATTATGATCATGCGAGTAGACATAGCCTAGCTATATTGTTGCCTGCATCCCCAAAGCGCATTATAAAATGTATCTATGGAAAAGGGACCCACTTGACAGTCCAGGACCTGCCTGTGGGCATTTCCGCTTAATTAATGTTAAACAAGCATTATACTACAGTTTATGCTTTCAATGACTACCGTGATGCTCTTCTAGGACAGGTTGCAGTCCTAAGTCTTCCACTCTATAGTTTCTAAGTAACACGGCGGGTGTATGACTGCTAACACTTCCAGAGCTCATGAGTTCATTCCCAGTCATGCTCAATCTTAAGTTTTCTGTGAATTAATTTGTGGTACCAAGTACAATTTTATGCATCTGAAAATTTTACGTTCCGTAATCCTTTACCGGTCTTTACGTTTTGAAGTATATTCTGTGTTTGGGCATGTCATATATTTTAGACTTCCCGTGATTTTAAGACAGGTTCTTTTCTAAGATTTACCTGATGCGTTCCTTTTGAAAATTTCTCTTGGGTTTAGAAAGGTCTTTCACTCTTTCATTTGCTTCTGGTATTCTTCCAAGTGGTCGTATCGGTTGTTGTGATCCCCATAAAACATCTAAACTATAATATAAGTCAATTAATTTGTTGATAAGGGATGTCAATTGAAAATTTACAAACAAAAGTTGAATTTGATATCCATAACTTCACAAGAATCACTAATATCAAAATGTACTAAAAATGGTATTTTAGCTTATCATAATAATAATAATGTTAGTTATAATAATTATTGATTAATAGACATAGCATAAGCCCTTTTCCGGGTGCGGGATTTTCTCGCTGTGTTGAAGACCCATTGGTGGCCTTCGGCTGTTTTCTGCTCTTTGGTTGTGTTGTTGTCTCTTTGAAACATTCCCCATTTTCATTCTCAATTTTATAGCATAGTTGGTTTGGCAAATTATCTTTGAAATGAAATGCAATAAACATGAAATGTAACAAGCAAGAAATATATCATTTCATGAGGCAAACACATAAGAGACAAAAATTGACGACAAATTATGCATGTGTTAAATGTAAAAAACGCTAAAATATGCAGTATGGATATCATTCTAATTATCTCTACAACTTTAAGAGGTAAGTGTAATAAAATGATGTAATATACATTATTTCTTATTGGTTGAATACATGTTTTTGTTTATATCCCTTTTTGATAAACTTGTAGTTTTGCAAGGATGGCGGTACTCAAGTTAAAGTATTCCATAACTAAGATTATATGAAAGATTTTTTACATCTCTGTTTTGAGTTTTGAACTTGAAACCTGCAGTTTTTTTTTATGAAAAAGTCAAGCATTATTCAAATGCTTTTTACAGTTTGTTCTTGTGTTGTTCTATTACCCCACTGTCCGAGATTACAGGAGGGTTGAGCGCTCCAAAACATGTTTAACCCCGCCATATTATTGTGAACCTGTTCAAGTCAGGAGCCTGTAATTGATTAGTTGTCGTTGGTTGTTGTCTTTCATAATTGGTTTTAGTTCATTGTTTTGTACATAAACTAGGCCGTTGGTTTTCTCGTTTTAGTTCATTGTTTTGTACATAAACTAGGCCGTTGTTTTTCTCGTTTTAGTTCATTGTTTTGTACATAAACTAGGCCGTTGGTTTTCTCGTTTTAGTTCATTGTTTTGTACATAAACTAGGCCGTTGGTTTTCTCGTTTTAGTTCATTGTTTTGTACATAAACTAGGCCGTTGGTTTTCTCGTTTTAGTTCATTGTTTTGTACATAAACTAGGCCGTTGGTTTTCTCGTTTTAGTTCATTGTTTTGTACATAAACTAGGCCGTTGGTTTTCTCGTTTTAGTTCATTGTTTTGTACATAAACTAGGCCGTTGTTTTTCTCGTTTTAGTTCATTGTTTTGTACATAAACTAGGCCGTTGTTTTTCTCGTTTGAGTTCATTGTTTTGTACATAAACTAGGCCGTTGGTTTTCTCGTTTTAGTTCATTGTTTTGTACATAAACTAGGCCGTTGGTTTTCTCGTTTTAATCAATTAACGTTTGGTCATGTCGGGCCTTTCTTTAACTTACTAAATGGTATAGGTTTTGCTCATTAGCGAAGGCCGTCCGATGACATATAGTTGATCTACATCATCTGGTCTCTGGTGGATAGCTGTCTCATTGACAATCATATCACATCTTTTTATCTGTATATCCCTATTTTACATAATTATAGTTTTTACTGTTTAAAACCTGATTGTTTAACACACATTTAGTGCTTTTACTGTACAAATAAGAAAGAATTGCACATTACATAATTTATAGTACCATGTCATTTTGTGTTATATCTCGTCTCACTATTTTCTAGTATCACTTTGTACCACCTTTGATAAGTATTAAGTATGACGATAAATTTTCACTTCTGTACTCGTACTCTAAACAACAAATATATTAATTTTGTAAAAAAAATGTTTACTTCCGTACTCCAAACATCAAAATTATTGTATTTAAATTTACCTGTATACGTTGTTTTATTCAACGCCATTTTGTCCCAGGTAAGAGTTGTCTTATTGACACTCTTCCTACATCTTTTTATCACTACCTGTAACGTCTTTGTTATATAGGCACCCACGTTTTAATATTGTATTTATATTGTGTCATAGATCAAACTCATTCGTTCAGTGTATGTTTACTTGTTTTAGTTTAAATGTCTTTTTTTCGAGTTACGCCATTTCAATTGATATTTTATAGTGTGTATTTTTATGTTGTAATGTTACACTACTGTCTCAGGTTAGGGTGAAGGTTGGCGTCTGTTAAAACGTTTAAACCCGTTGCATTTTTATGCACCTCTCCTAAGTCAGGAGCCTGTTGTTCAGTGGTGGCGTTTGTTGGTGTGGTTCATAGGTGTTTCTCGTTTCTCGTTTTTTATATAGATTAGACCGTTGGTTTTCCTGTTTGAATTGTTTTACAGTAGTCATTTAGGGGCCCTGTATAGCTTGATGTTCGGTGTGAGCCAAGGCTCCGTGTTGAAGCCCGTACTTTGACCTATAATTGTTAACTTTTTTTACATTGTGACTTGGATGGAGTGTTGTCTCATTGGCACTCATACCACATCTTCTTATTTATATACAATATGCTACTGAAAGGTACACAATCAATGTGTATTTGGGTTTAGTACCAAAATATTAAGAGCCATGAAGCAATAGTACTGAAATGTTTTTAAAGTATACGTGCAAAATTAGCAGATACATTTGGTTGAATGCAATTTATCAAATAATTCGGCTTATTTTCATTTCTCAAGTAATACTATAAATTTTCATAACCCGTCTGTTTAAAAAAAAAAATATACATTTTCTCTACTTACCCTATATGAGTTGGTGTTCCATTGGATTGCCATCTTTCGTCGAGGTTCTTCGGGCGAGACAGAGCGTTCAAACGATCGCTGCATGAAAAAAAAAATCCATTAAACCTCGATTTAAATAATCTCTTTTTATCGAAAGAAATAAACATGTACTTCATATTATGTCAAACACTGTATATTCTTTTTCTTGGTGTATTATTATATATGTAAACTCAATATTTTTGGTATTTGTATATATTTGCAATTGTTCGGATACCCCTGTAGGGCTTTTAAAACATAAAGTTCTAAAACTTTTACAAAAAATGCATGTGTTAAACAAAACGATTGTTACTAGTGACATAAAGCCAAGTATTACGTACAATTTAAGTGTATCTTGTTGCAAACCAGCACTGCGATTATTTCTTAACAAGGGAAACATCTCGTTTGCTTCTTGCTTCTTCTTCTATGGAAATGAGTTATTTGAAAAGAGCTACCTTTTGTTATATGCTGTATAATGAAATTAGAAATAAACATGGAATAATCGAATTAATATTGAAATGACTACTTTTAGATAAAATTTTGAAACATACTCTTTTTGGAAGGGAAGGTAACGTCACTTTTTTAGACGTAAAGGACATATTATTCATTTAGAAGATATTCAAACTGAATGATAGTGGATAGTGGATAAGGATACAAGTGGGAGGTTTAGCCAGCTATAAAACAAGGTTTAACCCACCATTTTCTTCAGACAATATCTGTACCAAGCCAGGAATATGACACTTGTTTCTATTTGTTTCGATGGTTATTAAGTCGAGCGTTTGATTTTGTCAGTTTGTATGGACTTTCCCCTTTTTTGAATTAAACTTGAGTTGGATTCGGTATCGTTCAAATAGTGATTTGTGTATCATTGCCATGAAACCATTGTAAATTTAAATAATTTTTAATGTGATTAAAAAAAAAATTCCAATTTCTTGTGTTGACATAATCGATTGGAACGAGGAGTAATTATATACGAGTGCACATGATATATAACATTTAATAAACATGCATTGTTTTACACTAGTCATTTTGGGGCCCTTTATAGCTTGTTGTTCGGTGTTGAAGGCCGTACTTTGACCTTTAATTGTTTACTTTTTACACATTGTGACTTTGATGGATAGTTGTCTCATTGGCACTCATACCACATCTTCTTATTTATAATGATTTATTGATACTAAGTAAGAATTGAACTTGATACGTTGCAAGCTAAGAAAAAGAAGAAAAAACTGCTGTAAAAGCTTCAGAAACGTTGATTTGTGTGTCCATTGGATACACTATGCAGCAAACAACTTTCAAGTTTCATTGGAAAATAATCTTTGTTTCGATTTCTGAGTACAGTATGCCAAAATTGAGTTGTACAGCATAATCATTTGAAAAAAAAACAAATTATAGATCTACTTATTAGAAAGACTTTTTTTTTACTATACTCACGATATTATACTTGGGGAGGGCGACTGTGAGATCGGAGGGAGTCTAATAACCGACGCCCGGCTCCTTCGTGCATGTCCCATTCCTTAGTTCCAACACAAAACTGATCACATCCAAGATATGTATTTAACAATATTTTTCTGTATTGTAAATTGTACATATATATATTTATTAAGAGTGTTTAACAAATCCAGATTAAAGTTATTAATTACGATTAAAATGTTTTATTGATTATATGTGTTGAAATAAGCAAAAGGTAAATAATATTATACGTAAATAACTAAGATTATACGATTATCAGTCATTAATAAGGAGTTTTTTTTTCTCTCTCTGCATGGGTTTTCGACTAAAGACATCCATTTTAGATTTAAACACTCAAATGGCAAAATAATCTTCCACACATATAGTTCCTTTCTTAGAGATGGCTTATTCATCACACTGACAATTAAGGTTCTGGTTTGAAAAATTTAATTACAGGTTATAAGGTAAACTTAATTTCAATTAAGTAACGGTATTTGTACCTGCTTTTATTTTTTTCTTTAAACCCGATTAAAAAATAGCAGCTTTCTATCGAAAACTAAAGGTGATTTGTAAATTAAAAAGAGAAAGAAGACAAGTTTTGTGTAATCAACTCATCCTACAGTTTTCAACACAGATCCCTGAAATGCAAATTGGTTGAAGTTGTGCACCTTCTATTTTGGAATTGTTTGGGGAATATTTTCTCATTTTTCCAGAATTGGGAACTTAGTCATTTTTCAGCAAAATGTATGAGAAAGTACAAGTTTTATATAATCAACTCCTACAATTTTAAACCCAGATCCCTGACACTTCACAGGATGATTGCACATATTTTGAAGTTGTACATCTGCTATTATAGAATTGTTTGAGTATCTTTATATTTCATATTTCAAAACTTACAATGTTCAGTATTGAACATTCTGCATTGTGTCAGATACATTCTGCGCAAACCGGCCATTTGAGTCTTTGATCTATTTTCTATCATGTATTCTTAGTTGATTATTATATTTTTCTAGCTTTATCATAATGAAATACCTTTGTCTGATTTTTAAAACTCAACTGTTTATTTCAGCATATACAAATAAGTTCTCGCTGCGATATAGTTTGTTCTAAGGCGGCGTAAGGCACACATCAATTAACCAATCAACACAAATATAGGCTGTATTTTATGTTTATAGAATAGAATTAGATAATGGATTTCGATCAGTATGATATAATAAACTCAGAACTTAAAAGCAAATAATAAGTGTTATAATAAACAAACTGAAACCGAAATGTATAGCATGTTCAATATTATGAAGTTCTTGAATTAACGACATGGAAATCATTGATTCATAATAACTGTTTTTGTTTATTAACGCTGTTGTACGACAGATGAGGTCATGAAGTTTTATTGAATGACCTTAACCTTTTGACAGTTGTCTCTAATTCAGATCGGTGAATCATATTTTTCTGTAATAACCAGGAATCTTCAATTGCTAAAAATGTAGACAAAAAAAAAAAAAGAACACACGGGCTTACGGCTGTATAGTATGAAAAGAGGCAGAAGATGCAAAAGGGACAATAAAACATCATTATACCCCCGCTTTAAAAAAGTGGGGGTATACTGTTTTACCTCTGTCTGTCCGTCCATCCATCCGTCAGTCTGTCAGTCCGTCAGTCCGTCCATCCGTCCCATGAAAATCTTTCTCAGGAACTACAATACAAGGATTTCTGAAATTTGGTTTCAGGGTTTATATAAGTCAGCTATACCGTGTGATGCGTTTTCAGATTGATCACTCAACAACTTCCTGTTTACCGAACACTTACATCATTTTACACAACACATCCAAGTTGAAAATTTTCGTCACATTTTTCTCAGGAACTACATAACAAGGATTTCTGAAATTTGGTTTCAGTGTTTATATAATTCAGCTATACCGTGTGATGCGTTTTCAGATTCATCACTCAACAACTTCCTGTTTACCGTCAACTATTTGGGCTGGGGGTATCATCAGTGAGCAGTAGCTCGCACTTTCACTTGTTTTTCCTTTTCCAGATCAACAGCCAAAAATTAAGCATTTCTTATTTTGAAAACCATATCATATGCATGCTAATTGGTTTGTATTATATTGTGTAGCTTCAATGGCCATTCAATTGTTCTTATCTTAAAGCAAGATATTGTCTTCATTCATTCTCTGTCTAATTCTCGTCAGAGAAAATAACTGACTACATACTCCAAGTGAGGACAATTCATGTTGCTCACAATAGCAGTTTTTAGTGGTGTGGGCTCTCAAAGCTTATTCAGCAGCCGACAAACGAACCTTTAGAATTTGATTAGATTTTTATACTTTCCGATTTTTATTTAAGTTATAAAAATCGAGAGCCTGAGATGTTTCCACAACCAGAATCCACCACTTGCTTTTTCCAAGATCACTATAAACATTAGTGTTCTTTACAATCTGATAAAATACGGATCTTGTTTTTTCACTACGATTGTGTTCATTATTGTTGAAAATTGATCATTTTGTCACGTTTAAATGAATACATATGTACGTACGAAATATTTGTATGTTCATATTCGTGATAACAAAAAAAATATATGCGTACATTGATGCATTTTTTTTCTGCAAACGCGTCAATGTAGATAGACATTTCTGAATTTTAATATTCAATATAGTTTTATATTTATTTTATTCCTTTATAAAGTAAAGTGGTGTCGTCGCACTGAAACCGGTTCCCATAACTACAACAACTATTTATTCGGTCTTCTTTTCGCAAGGCGCGTCATTGTCCACGACTGTGTTTCATTTACTTCTGAGGCTCACAATGATAGCTCGAGGTCTTGATGAAATTTTGTGAGCTTTTTTTTATTTGTTGTTGATGGTTGTCTTAGTTTGAAGCTTGTTTTGTTGCCATATTACATGATCTATTATATTGACTAGGATAATGGACACATTGCGGAACATGATATTGACTAGGATAATGAACGTATAGTGGATCAAGATATTGACTAGGATAATGGACATATAATGGAACATGATATTGACTAAGATAATGAACGTAAAGTGGAACATAATATTGACTAGGATAATGAACGTAAAGTGGAATATAATATTGACTAGGATAATGAACGTATAGTGGACCGTGATATTGACTAGGATAATGGACATATAATGGAACATGGTATTGACTAAGATAATGAACGTAAAGTGGAACATAATATTGACTAGGATAATGAACGTAAAGTGGAATATAATATTGACTAGGATAATGGACATATAGTGGAACATGATATTGACTAGGATAATGAACATATAGTGGAACATGCTATTGACTAGGATAATGAACGTATAGTGGAACATGGTATTGACTAGGATAATGAACGTATAGTGGAACATGGTATTGACTAGGATAATGGACATATAATGGAACATGATATTGACTAGGATAATGAACATATAATGGAACATGGTATTGACTAGGATAATGGACATATAATGGAACATGATATTGACTAGGATAATGGACATATAATGGAATATAATATTGACTAGGATAATGGACATATAATGGAATATAATATTGACTAGGATAATGAACGTAAAGTGGAATATACTATTGACTAGGATAATGGACATATAATGGAACATGATATTGACTAGGATAATGAACATATAGTGGAACATGGTATTGACTAGGATAATGGACATATAATGGAACATGATATTGACTAGGATAATGAACATATAATGGAACATGGTATTGACTAGGATAATGAACGTAAAGTGGACCATGGTATTGACTAGGATAATGAACGTATAGTGGAACATGGTATTGACTAGGATAATGAACATATAGTGGAACATGGTATTGACTAGGATAATGGACATATAATGGAACATGGTATTGACTAGGATAATGAACGTATAGTGGAACATGGTATTGACTAGGATAATGAACATATAGTGGAACATGGTATTGACTAGGATAATGAACGTAAAGTGGACCATGGTATTGACTAGGATAATGAACGTATAGTGGAACATGGTATTGACTAGGATAATGAACATATAGTGGAACATGCTATTGACTAGGATAATGGACATATAATGGAACATGGTATTGACTAGGATAATGAACGTATAGTGGAACATGGTATTGACTAGGATAATGAACGTATAGTGGAACATGGTATTGACTAGGATAATGAACGTATATTAGTGGGACATGGTATTGACTAGGATTATGGACGTTTAGTGGAACATGATATTGTCTAGTATAATGAACGTATAGCGGAACATGATATTGACTAGGATAATGAACGTATAGTGGAACACGATATTGACTAGGATAATGGACGTATAGTGGAACATGCTATTGACTAGGATAATGAACTTATAGTGGAACATGCTATTGACTAGGATAATGGACATATAATGGAACATGATATTGACTAGGATAATGAACATATAGTGGACCATGGTATTGACTAGAATAATGAACGTATAGTGGACCGTGGTATTGACTAGGATAATGAACATATAGTGGACCATGGTATTGACTAGAATAATGAACGTATAGTGGAACATGGTATTGACTAGGATAATGAACATATAGTGGAACATGATATTGACTAGGATAATGAACGTATAGTGGACCATGGTATTGACTAGGATAATGAACGTATAGTTGAACATCGTATTGACTAGGATAATGAACATATAGTGGACCATGGTATTGACTAGGATAATGAACGTATAGTTGAACATCGTATTGACTAGGATAATGAACATATAGTGGAACATGATATTGACTAGGATAATGAACATATAGTGGAACACGATATTGACTAGGATAATGAACGTATAGTTGAACATCGTATTGACTAGGATAATGAACGTATAGTGGACCATGATATTGACTAGGATAATGAACATATAGTGGAACATGGTATTGACTAGGATAATGGACGTATAGTGGAACATCGTATTGACTAGGATAATGAACATATAGTGGAACATGGTATTGACTAGGATAATGAACGTATAGTGGACCATGATATTGACTAGGATAATGAACATATAGTGGAACATGGTATTGACTAGGATAATG